TCTGATACCAATTGTTAGGATCAAGCGCTTACCCACTACACCAAAAGCAATTGCCTTGGTGAAGGCGCAACCTTATTTCCCTTATAGCGTAGCAGGCAGCGACACATTTCGATTTAGGAAGATGCTGGAACCGTGACCAACAGCAACCATGGTACATGGATTCAGGTTGCTCCAGGCACATGACTAGTGACAAAAGTCAGCTGACCTCCTTCACCGAAAAATCTGGAGGTTCTGTCACTTTTGGAGACAACAACAAGGGAATCATCAAGGGATACGAAACTCTCATCAAAGGCAACATCTCTATCAGCAAAGTGGCTTATGTTGAAGGTTTGAAGCACAACTTACTAAGCATAAGCCAGTTCTGCAACAAGGGTCTTGAAGTCAGGTTCCGCAAAGGTTTTTGTGTCATAGAAACAAAGCCCGGTCAAACCATTATCAAGGCCAAGAGAGAAGGGAATCTCTATCTTCAGGATTTTCAATCCTCTGAGAGACAAGACACCCTTTGCCTTGTATCCCATAAGAGCGTTGAAAATTGGCTATGGCACCAGAAGTTCTCACACCTGAATTTTGATGTCTTAAGAAAACTAGCCAAACAGAAGCTAGTCAAGGGGATTCCTGATCTCAACTTTGAAAAAGATCATCTATGCTCAACCTGTGAAATGGGAAAGCTAAAACGGGCCTCTCACCGAACAAAATCAGAAACCTCCTGCACCAAGCCCTTGCATATGATCCATATTGATCTCTGTGGGACCCATATCTACACAAAGCCTCTCAGGAAAGAAGTACATATTGGTACTTGTTGATGAAAACTCCAGATACACCTAGGTTGAGTTTGTGAAGAAGAAATCAACTGTTCTTGACCTACTCATTGGGGTAATGAAAATAATCCAAGTCCTTCTACAACTAAAACTCATTAAAGTTAGAAGCGACAATGCAACTAAATTCAAAAATGCCATAATCGATGAATACCTCAACAATGAAGGCATCACACAAAACTTTTCAGCAGCTAGAACCCCACAACAGAATTGAGTGGTAGAACGAAGGAACAAAACCCTTGTGGAAGCAGCAAGGACCATGCTTTCTTCATCAGAGTTACCCATTACCTTCTGGGCTGAAGCAATTTCTACTACATGCTTCACCCAGAATCGATCCATCATCAACCAGAGGCACCAGAAGACACCCTATGAGCTCATTAATCAGAGAAGACCAAATGTCAAGTATTTCCATGTATTTGGGTGCAAATGCTTTGTACTTAATGATAGGGAATATCTTGGCAAGTTCGACAAGAAAGCTGATGAAGGGATCTTTCTAGGATACTCTCAAACCGCAAAAGCCTACAGAGTCTACATCAAAAGGATGAAAATTGTCATAGAAAGCATCAATGTGTCCTTTGATGACGCCACAGGGATGACTTCTAGACACAACAGTTCAGGACTTGGACTTCAAAGAAGAGCATCTGATTGATCACTTGGCAAACCCAATGAATCAGAGTTAGCTCAATTATTTGAAGACATCTTCGGAGAAGAAGTAATTCCTGGACATGCACCTACTGCAAAATCCACTTCCAGAACCGATGAAGAACATGAATTCTCCAATGCTAAAGGTACAACTCTTACTGAAACTCGTGTTACCTCACCTTCTACTTCTTCTGTGTCTTCAGATCAAGAACAAGAACCAGAGTCTAACTCTGGAAATGATCACTTCTAGGGGGAGCAAGCAGTTCCATCAGTCAATGAAGAACTGCATCTTGTTTCTCCAGAACCCCAGACAAGCACCAAGTGGACGAAAGACCACCCACATCACCAAATCATTGGTGATCCAACATCTGGTGTAAAGACGAGAACAACAACAGCCAATGAATGCCTCTTCGCCAACTTCACATCTCACCCTGAAAGTCATACACCCTAGCTTGCTTTATATTCTGTTATCTCCTGTTTTTAGTTTTGTTAACTCTGTTCTAATCAAAGTCTTCGAAATCGCCATCTGAAATCATTTCCTTAACTTTACTTTCTTTTAAACTTTTACTACGATCCCTGTGGACGATATCTGGTACTTGTACCACTTTTATTACTTGAAAGACGATATTGGGACTAATTGTATACTTGCTTGTAGTCCTGATTGTTGTTTGTGGATGTGGTTTCACGGGCCCATCAGACCTCTGCTGAGAAAAACCAGTGAAGCCCACCACAACTAAAGAAAAACGGACATGAACGTGTAGGGAGAGGGAGAGCCAGAGAGGGAGTCACCGTCGCCGTCGCCGATTAGGGTAGGGAGAGGGAGTCGCCATCGTACAATGAGGAGGGAGGAAGTTGTACGTAACTCGTACAAAGGTCAATGAGGATTGAGGAGGAGTATGGTAGTGGTCACTGGACTCATGGACATGACGTGGACGGCTGGGCTGGAAGGACACATTTACAATTCACAGGCCAAAGCCCAAAGCCCAAATTCACATTACACACACACACACACACACACACACACACATATATATATATATAAACGGGTACGGGGGGGCGGGGAGTGCTATACCCGTCCCCGACCCCATCCCCGACTTGAGCCAAGCGGGGATCCCCGTCTTGAGCCAAGCGGTGATCCCCGTCCCCGTCCCTGGGACCCGATTTTCCGGGGAATCCTCGTCCTTAACAGGGGCGGGTGGACCGGGTTAGCCGACGGGTCGGGGTCCATTCCCATCCCTATCCACACCCTCCAAGAATAGAGGCATCCGATTCTTCCAAAGACTAAAGTATCTCTGATAAATCGGGGAGATTTGGCAAAGGAGCCACTGTCGTGAAAGTTTGTGCTTGTGTTTTGCAAAGTCATTTGAAAGCAGTAAATTATCTAGAGAAAGAGAGATAATAAAATACAGAAAAACAACTAAACAAGAAGAGAAGAAAACACTGATCTGATACCACTTGTTGGTCTCGGTTGGGTCTACAAGAGTTTTATAGAAACAGTTTGTAGAAAGGGGAGGGGGGGTTGAACACAAACACAGAGAACTTCCAAATTTAAAAATATATATTGATAAAGAAAGATCAATACAGATTTTTACAAGATTGTATGCGAAAATAGACAAGGTAAAGATAACCTATCTAAAACAATCTAAGTTTACACATAGATATTCTTAGCAAAGAGAAAAGATTTGCTAAAATATAAAGAAGGAAATAAGTTCTTCTTGGGAAAGAACTTTTAGAATACTTGAAAGGGATTCTAACTTGCTTGAAGATAAGCGTAAGTGTTCTTTTAGATGTGTGTGTGATCTCTTGTGTGTATGCACATATCATGTAGTATCTCTGCATGGAGAGAGCACTCATCTATTTATATTCATTTCATTAAATGCACATTTAATGCAATGCAGTAGGGTTAGAATGCGCGTCAAGCTTTTAAGGAAAAGCTTGTTCTTTGCTACAGTGAATAGTACAAAAGTTTATTCATGAGCAGACATCCTTTTGTGAAGTTGGTGGGTAATAGAGTCAACTAGTTGGCTCCGTACCGTACTATACTCTAGAAAGGGTATGGGTTTGTCCTCTGTGTGTGGAAGGACAAGACAAAAACAATCTTGCACAACAAGCTTCATTTGATCGCTGAATGCTGGAATAACATTAAAGGTCTCTTCAGCATTCGCTAAGGCTTGGACAGTCTTCACACATATGTTGACCAGGTTGTAATCATTGAATGTCGCTTCAGACACGAACGCGCCAGTCTTTGTCTCAGTCTTCGACTTTGACTGAAGGTTCTTTGGTGTGAGTTTTGTCTTCTTGAAGTATCGCTGTCGCTGTAGGAATCACAATACATGTCTCAGCGATCACTGAACAGACTTAATGATGATTGTTGGAACTGAAAGACAAAAACATAATACTTCGAAATAGGTAAAAGGGATTATCATCAAATCAATGAGAGAAAGGATCAACAGTAGTACAACTCTCTTACTTGGGGAAAATTTTGAAAATGCATCGAAGAATATGGTAGATATGGAAATGGATATACGAAAAAAAGACTTCCATGGTGAATTCTGAACTTGCAAAAATGCAATCACTTTTTAGAGTGGAGAGGTTCATAGCAGTCAAGGAGATAACAAACGAGCCTGATAACGTGTTAATTTTTTGGAGTTTGGAAGAAAGGGAGCAAGAGGAGTGGGTGAGGTTTGTGTTGAAAAGTTGATTTTGGTTATGATTTGACAACTTGAATTTGGGTTTTGGAAGTAAGGTATGTAGTTAATAGTTTCAGATGTTATTGGATCTTAGTAATTTGTAGTGAACAATTTCATATATTAGTAAGATAAGTGAACAATTTCAAATTTTATCTGATGTTAATAATGTAATTTGGTTTAATGGTAATTTTTATTTTAAAAAATGACAAAAAATTATAAAAGGTCATTTGTTGATATTTAATTCCGATTCTAAAGTTGAATTTCGTGAATCAAACAAAAAAAATTAATTCCTTTAAAATTCCATTCCAATTCCATGAAATCATATGCAATCATAAGACATGATCAAATTTTATCAGATTTCATTCAATTTCGTTAAAGTAAAATTCATTTGTTGAATTTCAATTTCAAGAATTCCGTACTACTAACCAAATCGTGGATAGTACTTTTGTCAAATCTCTCTTAACAAAATAGAGAAAGAAAAATAAATTGACGGTTTGCAACTGCGAGTTTTATGTTAGGGGTTTTCATTTGACTCTGCTGTTTCCTCCATCCAAATTATCTTCGAGATTCAACCGGATAGTTGAACGAATGAATTCCAATGGAGGAGTTGATGAATTGCTCACCGAACTCCAGTCGTTAAAGGATTCGAAGCTAGATATCGAGGCTCGCATATCTGTTCTTGAAGCTCAGCTTCACCAAATTCAATCAAATCAACACGCCAATCCAAAAGGTTCTTCCGATTGTTCCAACGGTCGCTCTGATTTTGGCCATGATTTGACTCCAGATATGATTTACAGATACAGCCGTCAACTTTTACTCCCTTCCTTTGGTGTTCAAGGTTTGGTTCAATCGTGTATATGGTTTTCTTATACTCTGTATATTGGGATACACCTGGAACATGAACGTGATATCATATCTGGAAACATTACATGCGGATAGATGAACGTTCATGTCATATCTGCAACTATCTTATTGCAGAAAGGAGTGTTTAAATTGATTGGGTTGATCTGCTTTTACTTTAGTTACACTCTTTTTGTTCCACATTTTTGTAAGTCACTTTGTGAAAAGAACAAAGAATTGGAGTTCTAATGATTGAAAGAATTGAATTTGAGTCATCTCAGTAGCCACTCCGTCCTTTACATCCTGGTTTTGGAAATTTGAGGTCTAGTATTTTTGAAACAGAACACTTTTGATGTTCTAGTAATTTTATTGTAGGTTAGTTTGTAACCTTCAGCATGTTTACCAACCTTTTGCCTAGTTAAAAAAACAGGGGGGAAATAGTAGGTTACAGGGTAGCACATCAGTTACTCACTGCTGAATTTCTTGTAATTACAGCTTACCATACTTTTTTACCAAATGATAATTGGCTTACCATCATTTATAAAGCTATTAAGCAACTGACTTCACATTTGGATGTCAATAATGGACTCAACTTGTGGGACAAAGGCGTAGTATATATATGCCAAAATAGTTTTGATTCTATTCCTAGACCTTAAGGAGGCGTTTGATTTGCAGAATGGAATTCGATGGAATTGGAATTCATCAAATGAATTTGACTTTAAGGGAATGAAATGGAATTTGATGGAATTTGACGATGCCTTTTGATTGTGTTTGGTTGGATGGAATTGGAATGGAATTCTTAACGGAATTGGAATTTTTTTGTTTGGTTCATGGAATTCAACTTTGGAATTGGAATTGGAATTGGAATTGGAATTAAATATCAACAAATGACCTTCTATGATTTTTTTTGTCATCTTTCTTTAAAATTAATATTACCATTAAACCAAATTACATTACTAACATCAGATAAAATATGAAACTGTCCACTTATATTACTAATATCTGAAATTGTTCACTATAAATTACTAGGATCCGATAACATCTGAAACTATTAACTACATACCTTACTTCCAAAACCCAAATTCAAGTTGTCAAATCATAACCAAAATCAACCTTCCAACACAAACCTCACCTGCTCGTCTTGCTCCCTTTCTTCCGAACTCCAAAAATTAACACGTTATCAGGCTCACTTGTTATCTTCTTGACTGCTATGAACCTTTCCACTCTAGAAAGTGATTGCATTTTTGCAAGTTCAGAATTCACCATGGAAGTCTTGTTTGTATATCCATTTCCATATCTACCATATTTTTCAATGCATTTTCAAATTTTCCCCAAGTAAGAGAGTTGCACTATGCATTCCGTCAACAAGAGTCTCAACTCTGGTTTTCCTCTTCTTACTACCTCGACTTGAACTTTCTTCACTTCGCATATCTGTAGCATTATGTACATTATTGCTACTTTCAGTGTCCTCTGATTGTTGTTCTTGTTCTTCTAGATTCACTTGCTCCCCATCTCAACAACATCCCTAACTCTACTTCCTTGAGCTCTATATTTTCCAAAAACAATAGACAGGTCTTCAAAATATGGAAATATCTTGTTTTTCCATTTTGCCGCCTCTTTATGTACCTATTTCATGTCATAAAAGTTAATTATCAAAGATATCAAATAATAACTACAAATATTGCATGAAATATATAATGAGTACCTTCAGGTAAGACTCCCAAACTGGTGCTTCGACAATTACACATTGTTTCAAACAATCATAACCAAACCCACTCGTATTTGTCTCATTCACCATGTCATGGACCACTTGCCAACTCTTTTTCATTGTTTTAATTCTCGACTCAATGTGCGGTTTACCTAATATACCAGAATCAGGAATTGATTCCCCTAATACCGTTTAGAGATACTGTAAATATCCACATTTAAAGCCGTTATCAGCTTTAAATCCTCCGGTATTAACCTTGTTAACCAAAGCCTCCACAAGCTGGGCTTCCTCAATAGTTGTCCAATTTTGATAGTTTCTATTATGACTTCGATCCTCCATACCTATTGTTAAACAAATTAATAATAAACAAATAACATGTAAAATAAACTTGCAAATCATAAAATCAAGTTGTAGCATTATTAATCATAATATTATGCAACATATGTACCAAATTCATTACAAACCATAAAGAAAAACTTCTAGCATTACAAATCATAAAAGGTCAATGTGTAGCATTCCAAGCCTCAAACATATGTTGCGCCAAATTATTTCTAAATGCAGTTCGCTCAATTAATGTCCCAACATAACTGACATTATCCACGTCTTGGTCTCCATCATCTTCGGTGGTTTCGTCTAACCCATCATTCTCAAACGGATCATTTGGCATTTCTTGCCTGATATGATTATGAAGTAGACAACATGCCATTATGATCTTGTTTTTCAGTTCAGGGTGATAGTACGAGTTATCTTTTAAAATTCCTAACCTTTCCTTTAAAATGCCAAAACATCTTTCTATGACATTTCTTGCAGAGGAATGTCTCATGTTAAAAATTTCTTTTGGCGTGGTTGGTTGGTTTCCATCCCGCCAATCATGTTAACATTTCTTGTATTAACCATGTTAACCAAAGCCTCCACAAGCTTGGCATTTTCAATAGTTGTCCAATTCCGATAGTTTCTATTACGACTTCGATCCACCATACCTATTGTTAAACGAATTAAATAATAAACAAATAACATGTAAAATAAACATGCAAATCCTAAAATCAAGTTGTAGCATCATTAATCATAATATTATGGAACACATGTATCATATTCATTACAAACCATAAAGATAAACTTCTAGCATTACAAATCATAAAAGGTCAATGCGTAGCATTCCAAGCCTCAAACATATGTTGTGCCAAATTATTTCTAAATGCAATCTACTCAGTTGATGTCCCAACAGAACTGACATTGTCCACGTCTTGGTCTCCATCATCTTCGGTTGTTTCTAACCCATCATTCTCAAACGGATCATTTGGCATTTCTCCCCTAATATGATTATGAAGTAGACAACATGCCATTATGATCTTGTTTTTCAGTTCAGCGTGATAGTACGAGTTATCTTTTAAAATTCCCCACCTTGCCTTTAAAATGCCAAAACATCTTTCTATGACATTTCTTGCAGAGGAATGTCTTAATGTTAAAAAGTTTTTTTGGCGTATTTGGTTGGTATCCGTCCCGCCAATCATTTAAGTGATATCTTTGACCTCTATATGGGGCGAGGAAACCCTCACCATTTGTGTATCTGGCATCTACCGGGTAATAATATGGCCTCGGTACCTTTAACCCATGTGGCCTAAGACGTGCGTCTCGAAGCACTCTACCATCGGCCGCTGACCCCTCCCATCCGGGTAACACATAAATAAATTGCATATCTAGTGAACAGACCCCTAACACGTTTGTACCAATTTCATTCTTTCTCGTTCTGTATCGAGCCTTGTCTTCAAGTGGCACTAAGCACCTTATGTATGTTCCATCTAAAGCTCCTAGACAATTCTAAAACCAAAAAAATAAAAATGGTCATTACACACTTAAGTTACTTACATGTGAATACCAAAAAAGGTAGATATTATTCCATATACCTTGAACCTCTTCCATCTTCCATCGGTAGAATCCTCTTGAATGGGTTCGGGTTTCTTAAGCAAATATGAATGCAATCTTATCACCGCATTGCAAACTCGAGTAAATAGTGTACTGATTGTTTCTCCTGAACGATGAAACGACATGTGAGAACTTGAATTTTAACATTATGAGCCATAATATGAAGGAAAATGACAACTTGTTCATCAATACCCATATGCCTACTTGCTCGTAATCCTCCTAATGTTTCCAACATATCACATAACCTTTTGAAACACCCTCTGTTCATCCTACGTTGTGATATGCACATACTGTCACTCTCATAAGCATACTTATGCAATAATGAAGCTCGATCCATATTTGACAAAGAGTATCGAATACGTGGTTTATCCGTTTCGTAGTCGGCTATTAAAGTGCAAATCGTGATGAAAAACCAAGCAATAATGGTCATAGCTTCATGCAAAAACAATCTCATAAGCCTACGTCTGCATGTTGTGAAACTAAGTTGGGCCATTTCCTGTTCAAAGACATACAAATGGTTTTATTTCCAATTCCTATCAAATAAAGTAATCGAAGTGTGCAAACCTGCTGATGCATAATGCATTAAGAGGTTATGCATTTTGTTTTATAGATCCACCATTTTTGGTGTTGGTCCTCCTGGACTTGTGTAGTCAACCTGCTGATGCATAATGCATTAAGAGGTTTTGCATTTTGTTTCTTTTTATCATAAGTAACTCTATTTTAAATGTTTTGTGGACTTTATTTTATTTTGTATGTGAGGGTAGTATGGATTTGAGGACTCCAAGGCTGGATGGTAGGTTCAAAAATTGAAACCATCTAGCTTAATCTATAAGTTATTTGTTTTGTTTGAGTTTTCTTTTTATACAATAATCAAAATGCTGATCTTTCTCTGATTGTGATAAAAAATGTATATTATTCATTTTCTATGTGTACTCATCTTGGGTTCTCTGTGAACAAATTTGACAAACCAACACATAGATTAGGCCTTGGGTATTTGTAACATTGAAGAAGAAATCAAGCTGTACTTGTTTACATCACTGAGGTTGATGTTTTTCTATGAATGCATCCTTCTATTGATTTGGGGATTTAAAGATACATTGATAGCAACAATTGGTGTTGTAGTTCCTTTTTTGCTTGAAAGCTCTGAATGATTACATGTAATGAAGTAAATTTTGTACTGACATTTAGGAATCATACAACTAGCTGTTTATGGAGACCCAGTTTAGTTTATGAAGAGTTGGATCTTGTGGGTAAAATGAGAGTGTCTACCTCTTTCACACTATGTCCATTTGGAACAAAGTATGCGCCACTGGGCATCATAGTGAAGGGGGTATACATACTTCAAATCAGACGGTTAGGAAGAAGTAAAGAACAAGGGAATATCAAAAAAAGTGGCAAACATTTTTAGAGGAAACCACTCTTGTAGGCAGGGGACTTCCTCTTTCAAATGCTGTGGCAATAGTTCATAGTCACAGTCCCACCCTCAAACCTAAATATTTAGAAATTGAGCTAGTTTATGTTCTTTTATGACTACCAAAGCACACATGATTAGGATTTTGTCTTGTGTTGTTGATTTAGTTGCCTGCAAGTATACTCGATTGATGCGAGATTCCTTTGCTGCAAAGCATATTTGGAATACAAGTGAGGATTGGGATATGTTGTTGTTTATGGTTTGAAAAGATTGATTGGTGGCTAGTATAGTAGACTAAATAGGTATCTTGGTATTGCTTTCTTCCATTTATTTATTCATCTTGGAAGATTATTTTAATATGAAATGGGATGATCTTGTTTACAAGTCTTTTTGTTTTGATGTATCATTTTCACATAACAGTTTTAAACATGAACCAAATTCTTCCATTTATTTATTCATGTATGGTGAAAGTGGAATAATTTTCATCAAATACAGATAGTGTTAAACATGTTTGGTGAAGTGGAATAGCATTTGAGAGGAGGGATGTCAAGGTTTATAAGGGGATGTTGTTTTGATGTATAATTTTCACATAACAGATTTCACTGGGTGACTTTCTCTCTTAAATTTGTCATTAGGTTCTCTAAAAAAAAAAGAAAAATGCTATAGACACTTTTGTCATCAATTATCTCTTACCATTAATGCCTGAAAACATCAATAAATTCCAAATTTTATGTTTACATGTGTCCTTGGATGTTGAACTATATGTATATAGATACAAATATATAGAAAAAAATACCATCCAATGTTTTTTAATTGAAGAACGATCACAAAATGTACTTAACAAATATGAAAGAGGGGAAGGTATTCAACGAGCTCTTTCCTAGTAACCATGTGCATCACGTTAATGGACTTAACAAAAATGCTATAGACAACTATAGCAATCCATGGCCAAAATACAAATTTGTTGATCATTTTGTACAACCACTATCTATCCTATGCTGCTACAAATGATCATACAGATTAGTGATAGCTACAAATGCAACAATCCATTTACAATGGAATTTTTTTGACAGAAGTGATCGGTGCCCTAATTCCATTCGATTGGGGGTTCGATTTCAAGAATTATCGACATGGAGTGGGACTAGTGATATCGATAGCTAGTTGTCTTGAATCGATTTCTTGATTACATATGTTGTCTATCGATCTCGTGATAGATGGAGAAATTATGAGGGAGAGAAAGAGAGAGAGCGTACCAGATTGGAGATCTAACCAGAGATCGACTAGATGAGATGGTAGACGCAACGTTGAATGGATTTGGATTAGGGAAGGAATTTGTCGGAAAGGAATTGAAATCCAAGGGTATTGCCTTGGAATTGTAAAATCTATGAGTTAAGGAATTTATTGGAATTGAAAGGATTCCATCAGTTTTATTCCATGAACCAAACATTGTATTTGGAATTTGGTCAAAGGATTTGGCCATTCCAATTCCATCCAAATCCATGAACCAAACAGCCCCTAAGTTTCACTCTTTTGCAACCCTTCTATTTTTCAACGACGAAACTAAATGTTGTATGGTGGTGAATGTATCAATATTTTTCTCGTTCGAAATGAAATTGAGCAAAAATGGCTACTATTTTGCTTCAGGGAGCCTATTAACTGAATTGATTGTTTCGAAAAGATAATGAATTCCACATCAATGCTAATCATCGGATGTGGAAAATTGATCAGATGAACTTCATCGTACAACCTTGTTTTCAGTATGTGAATGTTTTTCTTGTCAATATAAGATTTGTTCTTTTCCTTTTGAGAATAGATGCGCTTAGGTTTGAAAGGTTTCATTTAATTCACTTTCTTATTTGGTTGTAGGGCAGTCAAATCTCTTGAAGTCGTCCATTTTGGTTATTGGAGCTGGGGGTTTAGGATCACCTGCTCTGTTATATCTAGCTGCCTGTGGTGTAGGTGAGATGTCTCTTTTTTAAAATTTTAACTTTCAAATTGTCTTTTTTTCTGTTTCCGGTGCTTATTGTTAACTTTACATCTCTTAGCAAAAAATCCCCAATTGTTGGTAAGCATATGCTTCTGTTTGACCTTTTTCTTCACCTTGTGATAATACTAATGGCAGTGGAGATTTGAGCTGGTAATGGAAGTTATTTTATTTCTGTTTCCAGCGCACCTATTTAGCCCTTGGACTAATAACTTTAAGCAAATCTTGACAGGCCGATTAGGTATGGTGGATCATGATGTTGTTGAGCTAAACAATCTGCACAGGCAGGTATGGTCATGGTGCCTTTTCTATTGCAATTGTTAATTTCAATTTATGATGTAGAGATCAATGAATCACTTATCACCATCAAGTAATGTTAAACCATAGGTTCCCATGGATGATGTGCATCATTTTCTGGTTGTGTGTTCTTTGAATTATGTTATCAAGCATGCTGTTGAATTACTAATTCTGTCGATATTTCAGATCATCCATGGTGAAGCATACATAGGTCGCTCTAAAGTAGAGTCTGCTGCTGCAGCTTGTCGTTCGTATGTTACTCTTGCTTGGTTTTTTGTTATCTCTTAAATCTAGCAAAGGTTGTGTTCATATACATGAAGTTTGTGTGCCACCGATACTTGGTGTTTTACCAGTATTGTACCTTTTTCACAGGATCAATTCCACCATTGAAATAGTGGAACACAAAGAAGCTTTGCGCACATCCAATGCTTTGGAGATAGTGAGCAAGTATCCTTCATACTTTAAATAAACCTCATGAATTGTTTTCTTTATTGTTATGCTTCACTTTTTATTAATTTTCTCCTAGCATAACTATATCATGATTTCCATGACTGTTAATTTCCTAGATACGATATTGTAATAGATGCAACAGATAATGCTCCCAGCCGATATATGATCAGTGATTGCTGTGTTCTGCTTGGAAAGGTGTGTTACTTTCTATTGTGTCCCTCTTTAGTTGTGTTTATGTTGATGTTCTAAATGGTTGTATGTTATAGTCACATTTCTGGCATATATGTATGTATTCTGATACATTGAAAGGCATATGAATCAAAATTATCCAAATATTGACTTGTAATAATTATATGTGCAGCCTCTTGTATCAGGTGCTGCACTGGGTTTGGAAGGGCAGGTAATGTTTGCAATATAAGACTAATTTTTTTTTATACAAACAAGAAGTTATTGTGAAGTGTGATATGTGTTGCTTGTTTCCAGGTTTGTATATAACTGTATCTGTTTTTTTTATTTACTTTTATAGCTCGCGGTTTACAATTACAATGGAGGCCCATGTTATCGATGCCTCTTTCCAACCCCACCACCCACAACAGCATGCCAGAGATGCTCTGACAGTGGAGTTCTAGGTGTAGGTAAGCTATATTTCTGTCATATTTTAATCCCAAGGTTGAACTGCTGTCAGATTTGTCCTACAGGATGATAACATGTAACTTAGCTTATGAATATTTTCATGTTAGAACCTTGATTTTCTAATGTTAAGAAGTAGTTTTCTTCTTCCTCATCAACCATCTCCTGGGATGAGGGAATCTAAATTCATTCTCTACCCTGAAGATACGACTATTCTACAGACCTGATCTCTACCTTGAAGATAGATCGACTATTTCTGTGAAGACCCTCGGCTTGAGAAAAGTCTGACAGAGAGATAGAGAGAGATAAAGGCAGATAAGAAAAATTGTTGACAAACTAGCCAAGAATATGGAATAATGTACAAATTGAAGTAGGAACAAGAGAAACATAACCAAGCAAGAGGGTAGACCCCTTGTTCAATCCACTAACCTTACCACCCACCCTCTACCTCACCAGTCCCTCCTGACTATGCTAGTTATAGATCCCATCCGTGCTATGCTACCATAGTTCTCCGTCTCCGATAGTTCTTATTAGACTTCATTATATTGCATACAAAATGTTAATGGTATTGCATTTGATTATTATTTTTGTATTTTGGATGTGGAGTTGGAAGTCAGTTCTATGCTCGTCTGCTTCTTTAATGGGTTCACAATATAAATTTGGTTGAAAAGTAACTTTCTGTAAAAAATTCAGGGTGTTGGCTATCTAAAGCAACACTGAATATAATCTAAGAGACCATATTTTAAGTCTCTCTCATTTCTATCTCATGATCAGCTTGCTTTTTATCTTGATTTTGTTATGATATCACTTAAATGGCATCTAATATCTGTTATCTGGCTATATTGTAACAGTTCCTGGCATTATTGGTTGTCTTCAAGCACTAGAGGCTATCAAGGTGGCAAGCTTGGTTGGCGAGCCACTTTCAGAAAGGATGCTTTTGTTTGATGCATTGTCAGCCAGGATTCGTATTGTGAGTTTTGTTAGCAGTTTTAAAACTCAATCACCTCATAACAATCAAGCAACACCCCTTTGTGATTTAGGAACTAGGTTTCGAACATTTTAGCTTAATTGAATTGGCCGAGTTTGAAGTTGTTAAAAGTACGCCATAGGCACACGCCTAGGCTCTGAGGCACATAAGGCTCAAGGTCTTGGGCTTTTTCAAAGTCAGAGGTGAGGCGTATACAAGGCTCACTAAGGTGCTGCGCCTTGGCTGAGTCTAGGTGCGTCTCACAGACAGTTATTAAATACCCAGCCAAACCCTTCTATTAAATAAGTTTTCTCATCATCTCATCACCTAGACTTCTTAAAGGGAGTTATTAAATAGATGGCACAAGTCAAACCCTAATATTAACTACCCGATTCTTAGAACTTCAAGCCTCCTACATAAATACCCAGACCTTGAAACTTTTCCCTCTGGGCTCACGCGTTAAACCCTTCTCCCTTCTGCCTCTATCGAAGTACTGTTGGTTGTTACATCGGAGGCTTGTGCTTGGTTCTATACCCTATTTGAGTTGTGTCTTGATATATTTTGATAAGATGCGCTTCACATTCTTGTGGCCCATGCCTCACATCTAGGCCCTGGGACCCCTTTGTGCCTAAATGTGCCTTGAGTGTTTAACAACTTTGGCTGAGTTGATTCTGTAGGAGAAGCTGTGGTCTATTGGTTTCTAATTGTCTTGTAAATCTGATGATAACATATGTTTTTGGTAATTTGTTACTACTTCAGGTGAAGATTAGAGGAAGGTCATCAAAATGTGAAGCTTGTGGAGAAAATGCAACATTAACACGACAAGAATTTCAACATTTTGACTATGAGAAATTCACTCAGTCACCATTGTCTGCGGTTTGTTTTCTTATCCCTGAATGTTGAAATAGTGTTGTATCTTTTTTCGCAATAAATTATCCAAACTATTTGCATAAATGTTACTAATTAGTTTTTGTTTGTTCTAAATGTCAAAAGAGAAAATTGTTCCTGAATCTCTGAAACTAAGCTCTCAAAGAAGAGCTCATAAACAAATTTGAAATATGTCAGAAGACCAAAAATAAGAGCTCAATTAAGCAAAAATGAGACAGAGAAGTTGGTTAGAGGTCATGTCTGCTTACATCATATACCCTGGGTTCTAACAGTTTTTTTAAATGCATGATCTTCTGACAAATTTAAAAACGTCATGGACTAACAGAAGAATGCATCGTCCTAACAGAAGAATGTCTCGAAATATGTCAGAAGGTTATTCTCTTAAACAACCATCATACCCCTTAGGACGCACCTTTGGTGCGGTCTGGTGCAGTTTGAACAGCAGTTTGGTAACTCAAAACTGCAAACTGCAAACCGCAATGCATAGTGCGGTTTGGTAAAAATGCAAACCGCAGCGCGGAAGTTCTAAACTGCGCCTTGCAGTGTTGTGCGGTTTAGATGAACAACCTAAGATATACTGGGTTATACAAGTTGGATCAACACGACCATGACAAAGAATGCTTCTATTTTTTAAAAACCATCAACTTCTTTGCTAATATGTTAACGTCTTGTAGCCTAGTAACACAAATTGTGATCCCTCATTGCTCGCAGGCTCCTTTGAAGTTGAAATTGCTGAAGACCGATTCTAGAATTAGCAGCAAGGAATACGATGAGGTTGTTAAAAAGGGAGAGGCGCATATCCTGATTGACGTACGACCATCCCAACATTATAAGATCGTTTCTCTTCCCAAGTCCACGAACATACCCCTTGCAAATTTGGAAGATCGGTTGGCCGAGATATCCGCTGAATTGAAAAGCAAAGGGATTCATGATGTCTCAGATGCTAGTATTTATGTAGTCTGCAGAAGAGGTAATGATTCGCAAAGAGCCGTGCAATTGCTTCACAAATTGGGGTTTACGTCTGCTAAGGATATCATTGGTGGATTGGAATCATGGGCACACGACGTGGATCAGAGATTTCCGACCTACTAGTAAGTAGAGATGGACACAAACCGGTACTAAAAAAACACAGTTTGGTCAACAGGCGGGTCTAAGCAGTCCAAAAAAACCCTGGTCCGAAAGGTCTACTAGTAATTATGTTGTTAACATTATACAAAATCTTGTTTTGAACAACAATGAATTGAGTTCTTATACTTTGAACAATGAACAAAATGTCGGATTTTAAGATCTGCGGCTACATTGATCGTGTTTTAACATCCAAGTTTCACTCAGTTGCATCCGCATTGATACTTTTTCCAAAAAAAAAAAAAATGGGCTCACAAGCGGAAAACAAGCTTTTTGAGAACTTGCAACTGCACAGGCAGAATTGTTTTCACAAGCATAGGTGACTAAAAAGCTCTCTTATACCATAATCGTATAAGAACATAGACTTGATCTACAAGACCATTGATGAGCCAAAGAAATGAAAATACATTTGCATAAAATGGATGATTTAGATGGTTGGGGTACTCTGTGTTTGTGAAGATTAATGAAAGAGATGGAAGAATCACGTAACCGGTTAGTCTCAGGAGCAGTCCTAACCTCCAAAACCCTTAGCAGGTTTCAGTGTAACCAGTCCTCGAATCACGTAATCGGTCGGTCCCAGGACCGGTCCTGACCTCCAAAAATCTTAGCAGGTTTCATCGTAGCCGGTCTTGGAGAAAATACGATAATGGTAACCAGCGAACCGGTCCGTTAGGTTTGGTCCACTAACTGTCCCATGTATTTTTTTTAATATTGACCATCTTTTTTGTGTTATATATTAAGGTATCCGAGTGTTTGTTCTTTTTCAATTAAGAGCTTAAAAGTTCTGATTGGGTCTGAAAGTTTTAGCGATTGACAAAACTCTTAATACCTCTTATTTGAAAACGTCGCCTACTCTGGATCATCTCTCAACTCTCGATCTCTCAGCTATCATCTTTCAAGCTCTCGATTTAAGGTATCCATCTCGATTTCAATTCTTCTTTGATTTCTGTTTTGGTTCTCGATCTACTTCAAAATGTGGTGGTGTAACGGTTCCAGTGTTGATAGTAGAAACTGGAATAGGTTCTTCATTCTGATTACTAGTCTCTGTTCACACACAAGAAGTCTTAACCTAATTTGAGCAAAACTTGGAATAATTTATGAGTTCTTAACATTAAAAACAATAGTGTTAAATACAGAGTTCACTCCTTGCATGGTTTGTAAAACTAGACCAAAATCAAATATTTATGGATTGCAAAGTGTTATTGCCCTGTATATAGAAAAGGTTGCTGGTTCCGGTTTAAATATTCAGCAATTGGAGGATTTTGGCTACTGTCTTGAATATTTTTTAAATGTTGTTCAATCTCTACTTAAAAACAAACAGGCCCTTAGAATATAAAACCACAAGAACCAAACTCTCTACATAAATGCATTTAAGATTTGAAGCTTTAGGTGAATTGAAACAAAAAGACTTCCACAAAGTTCTTTAGAAAACCCACAATGAATCTTTATTATTTTGCAATATGTTATTTTTTCATGTGTGCTAATTAGTGATGGACGAAAATGTGCGTGTGAGGTGGACAAATGAAATTACCAAACGTTTTTTAGAGACTTGTATGGAAGAGGTGAATAAGGTGGGTCGAAATGGAGGTAGTCTTCACAAAGAAACTTGGGTGAAGTTGGCAACCAAACTTGAGAAAGTGTGCCATGTAAAACTCATCCAAAAACAATTGAAAAATCAGTATGATTATTTAAAGGGAAAATATTCGGGATGGGTGTACTTAAGAAATAGAACAAGGGATATTTATGATCCAAAAATGAATACGTTCACCTTATCTAATCAAGAACAGGAATATTTCTTCAAGGTTAGTTTTTGTTCTTTTTTTACCTTTTTAGATATTAAAGACAAAAGCACGGGTATTATATAAATAATTATATTTAATTTAGATGTAGGGACATCCAAAAGTAAGAACTTTAAAAACATCAAGATAGGTAATCCTGACTTATGTATAGCTTTGTTCGAGGGGACTTGTAGGATCTCGTGCTTATGCCTCTAGTTCAACCCTTGAGAGGACTACAATTTCATTATCATCATTTACATCTAATATCCACATTACTCATAATACTCAAAATGAGGTGGATGGAGATGAGGAGGAAGGACCCTTTGTCAATAAAGTGAGCACAACTCCATCTAGACCGAATAAGAAGAGTAAAACGAAGGTCGACATGGATGAATTGGCTTTAGAAATGAGGGGTGCACTTCAGACACTTGTTGCACAACAAACCTCAAACCTAAATGCTTGTATTGAATGGTTGAACACTCTTGACCTTGATAAAAGGGATCCTCTTTAAGATGCAGCCATTGACATTTTTTGGGCAATCAACATTGTTAAGAGAGATATGGTTGACGATCCCTTCAAACGTTGATATATTAACATCATGGATTTCAAGGACGGCAAGACGATTGGGACTCGTGGATTAGTTTTTTGGAATTTGAACAAGTTACTTCGTTATGTGTTTTGTATTTGAACATGTTATTTGCTTATGTGTTTGATATTTGACTACTTAGTTACGTGTTTTGGAAGTTGAATAAGTTGTTATTTGGTGATGTGTTTGATATTGAAGTTTACTTCTATTTATAATTTTATTTATGCTTTTAACAGATTTATCATGGATAATAATCAAATCATCATAGATAATAATAACAAAACTATACTTCTCATCGTCGTATTCTTGTATATGTTCTACTTGTGACAAAGGTGTTTGAAAAGGAAAAGAGATAATACGTCTGCAATGACTGGACGTCAATTTACGGATGAGCTACTTGAAGGTATGTTGATCCCAGATCTCTCAATAACACTAATAATTAAGTTAAGAATAACCTAATTATGTCGTGTGGATGAATAAAATGACGAACACTCAAGAACACAAATATGAATATTCAAAGAATATACTTGAGTGCCGGAAGATTCACTTTATTCCAAATGATTGTGAAAAGCGTAACCGAATACAAGAGGCCTAACGCCTATTTATACTAGAAAACTAAATAAGGAGATAACTATCTAGAGAGAATATCTAGCAAATCTTCTAGGAAAAATAAAGCTTATCTAGACAAGTAAAGTAAATCTTTGTAGAATCCAACTGTCGATTCGTCATCTCCAACTGTCTTCTATGTGGCGTTGTTCAACCATATCTTGATATCTTCTTCATCGTATGCCTCTGGTTGAACTGCTGTAGAAGACTCCAAGTGTTAGTAACCAGAGGGGTTATGAAGATGGTCGATTCATCGCATCTCTGGTCGATTCATCGGCCTTCTGGTTGTATTGAACACTTAGTCATTTTGCCTGGAAGTCTTCCATCGGCCTTCTGCTCCTTCACACTTGTTGTTTTTCATTACTTTTACAAATAAGAGTTATGGGGTCTAACAAGGTAGTGATCGATAATGTATTGAGTTGTTGCGAATGTCCTGTGTTCATTCAACTATGTGATCACTTTAAAGCAAAAGGTTGGTTAACGAATAGCAAACATATATTGGTCAAAGAAAATATGGCTATCTTCTTGATGATTATAGGTCACAATCAATGTTATAGAGTGTTGAAAAACAGGTTCCAACACTCAACACAAACAATTCATAATTTTTTTCTTAAGTGTTGGATAAAATGATGGAGTTTGGAAAAGAGATCGTAATTGCTACATCATTTAATCCTAATCCAGACATCCCTGGGAATAATAGGAGGTTATAACGAATATTTAAGGTAAACAATAATTCAAAAATAGTTGTATTACTTTCCTTACTAAATTTATTTTGATTATTAATGTAAGGAGCAATTGGCGCCTTGGATGGAATTTTATTACATGTTATCGTTCCTATTCAAGCACAACATTTATATAGAGGACGAGAAAAGGGTGTTATCAAAATATTTTGGTAATTTGTGATTTCAACATGGTTTTTACATTTGTTGTTACCGCATGGGAATGAATTGCACATGATTATAAAGTTTTGTCCGAAGCTTTAACAGATGGTGCTATTGGATTTCCATTTCCTCTTTTTAGGTATACTATTGATTTTACAGGTAATATATTTACTATATTCATTTGAACAAGTATTTTATTTATTGTTTTCAGATAAATATTATCTATGTGATGCTGCGTATACAAATACTCGAGGACTTATGGCGCCGTAACGTAATGTTAGATATTGGCTCGGAGATTTCCGTCGTCGACGAGCAATGAACAAGTATGAAAAGTTTAATCATTCTCATGCAAAACTTAGAAATGTTATTGAACGTTCTTATGGTATCCTCAAAGCACGTTTTCCGATATTGAAAAGAATGACACCATTTACACTTGAGGTTCAAAGAGATGTTGTTGCATGCTTTGCGGTTCACAACTTCATACGAACGGAAAGTTTAAGTGATGAGTTATTTTCTGAGTATGATCAAACCAACGAGCAAGGGAACGATGGCGAGGATGAGGTTGAAGAGGTTCAATCGCATGGGAGTGCTGCTGATCAAACATGTATGGCTAGTTTAAGAGAAGAAATTGCGACACACTTAATGCAAAATGAATATTGATTCTAGTTGTTATGAGACTTTGTTCGTGTTTTCTATTGTGTGTTGAATCAATTGACGTATTTCTGTTGAATTTTTGAATGTGTTAAAAATAGATGGCATTTTACAAATGGTTTAAATGATTGTGTTGATTCTCTCTCTCATTGATTTGATGATAATCCCTTTTACCTTTTACGAAGTATTATGTTTCTGTCTTTCACTTCCAGCGATCATCACTGAGTCTGTTCAGTGATCACTGAAACATGTATTGTAAATCCTACAGCGACAGCGATACTTCAAGAAGACAAAACTCACACCAAAGAACCTTCAACGAAAGTCGAAGACTAAAACTGAAGATTAGAGACCAATGCGTTCGTGATCTGAAGCAGCATTCACTGATTACAACCTGGTCAATATATGTGTGAAGAATGCCCAAGCCTTAGTGAATGCTGAAGAGACCTTCAATGTTATTCCAGCATTCAGCGATCAAATGAAGCTTGTTGTGCAAGATTGTTTTTGTCTTGTCCTTCCACACACAAAGGACATACCCATACCCTTTCTGGAGTATAGTACGGTACGGAGCCGACTAGTTGACTCTATTACTCACCAACTCCATGAAAGGATGTCTGCTCATAAATAGACATTTGTACTATTCACTGTAGCAAAGGACAAG